CTGAAGACTACAACTAACGCTACTAGCGCCCAGCGCTGAAGACTACTGCTAATGCTACAACTACTCCTGCAGCGCTCCTCCAGAGTGCTGCTGCCGAATCCTGAAGACTACTGACTGCCTCCTGCCTCCCCGTGAAGTGGATGGGAAGTCCCTATGTACTACCTCGGCCTGCCTCCTGACTGCCTCCGACTGCCTGCAGTTGCAGGGCGGGCAGTCCAGGAGGCTGCTATTGCCAATGCCAAACTGAGCCAGGGTCTGGCGCTGCAGCTGTCGTGGGAACAGGCCAAAAATAGCCTGTTCCTAAAACTCTGGTTTGGTGCCTGAATTTCAGGGCAGGTCGGTCTGATGAAAGACCGAAAATGGCCCTTCGTTTCAGGCTAAAAAGGCTACTGCCATTTTTAGTCTGAAACGACACAGGTTCTGTAGGCCCCTGTTTTTCAGGCTTTCGAGCTGAACAGACACGGGCCCTATAGGCCCTGGTTTTCAGGCTTTCAGCCTGAGGGACGCAGGGCCTGGAAAATGGCCCTCGTTTGCAGGCGCAGCATGTAACACAAAACGAATCAGCAATAAGTTAACAAATAAATGCTGCCTCAAATTGAAACCTGCGGCCTAAAAGATGGCCGTGGGCCTCCAGGGCGCATGTCTGGAATGGTCTGCGGCCTGGGGGCCTCCAGCAACCATCGGGGCCCCAAAACGGGGCCCGTGCACAGGCTCGGGATGTAACATAGATGCAGACCCAAGTCCTGGTCTACAGCCTAGGCAGAAAACAGGCAGCCTGGGGCGCTATCAAATATCCAGGTCTACCTGCTGATGGAGCAGGTACCTCGAGGCTAGCCCAGAAAAGACACGGGCTGTGCCACACAATACCGGACAAACTCCCGAGCCAAAAACTTGTGAATCAGACTACCGCTAGTCCGAACAGGCGTTTGTGCTTGCCTGCACAGGCAGAACTCGAAATGACATTCTCCCAGACCAGACGAAACCGGGAACAGACAAAAATCAGAGAAACGAAGCAGAAATCAGAGGAAAAACAACACGGACAAAAATAGCGCACACTGCCTGAAAGACAAGGAACCCTGGCCCTAAGGTGGCCGAACCCCAGACGGCCCAGAGGGGGGTGCATGCATGCCTCGCTGTGCTGTCATCCTTCCCTATGCTTTCACTTTGCTTTCACTTTGCTTTCACTTTGCCTGCCTTTGCTTATTTCTTCCATCTTTCCCCTCTCTTTATCCCCTCTCCCTTTGCTCTGCCTCTTTTTCACAGCATGCTAGTTGGCCTTATGGCACACATGGGGTTGTGTTGACAGCTCACTCTCAACTACATCAGCATGGTGAGCCCTGTTCGTGCCGTTCTGCTTATCTGATGATTATCTACCTAGCTGAGATCTTGCTAATATCAGGGGGAGATCTTATCCACAGCAACTCTATTGGCATCCTACACCTGTCTCACTAACTTTCACATCATATGGAACCGAATTGTTATCTCACACTCGTTGATTGCGATGCTGTTACTGACTCTGTCGTCCATTTTTGCAGGTCTACCGTTTGCTGACTGTCATGATTGCAAGGCCTTGGGGCCTTAGCGAGTTCTGTTTGCATGACAAGCTGGTGGACTACGTGACGGACCCTCGAACAGAGACAACGAAGACAGGTGAGCCAGCTGTGGGGCTGTGGCGTAATATCTTCTTTCCTGGTTTCTGCTTTTTGTTGTCAGTCTTGTGACGTAATATCTTAGTATGAGTAATTATGTATTTCGAAATTCAATGAGACGAAATTCATTGGTCTTGTGATTTTTTCCTACATGACAGATCCTTGTAATACTGAAAACGAAGACAGCTCAGCCGCTCCAGAATAATATCTTACATATAACCCTTGAGACGGGACGAAATGAAAGTTCATGAAACTCATTCATCTTCCGATTAACTATTTAATCACTCGTATTTTTTTGTGGAAATTCACCGGCCTGTGTTTCTCTCTCTTTCCTGGTGAGAGATCCTCGTACATAGAAACCAAATAAACAAAGACAGGTCAGCTGGTGTGTAATTTGATTTCTTCATCTAACTCGATAATATTTTAACCTTTGAACTTTGAAGGTTGAGAAGACTAAGTAGTGAATTCATTTGTCTTGCAATTTTTCTTTTTTTTGTTTGGAGTTTAAAACTTGAAGTATCGTTTTGATGAAATTTCAAATTAGTCCCTTAGGACCCTTACGGTCCAGGCTCCTCTTGAGTCTGGGCTGGCGAGCATCAGTTGGTTCCTTTTCCACCGCCAGTGGCAGCTGAGCTAGGCTACCAGCCGGGCCCTATTTTCCCAGGCGGCCCGGCCGTGCAAGGACCAGGGAAGGTCCCAGGCAAAAAAAAAATAAAAAAATCCAAAACATCCGAAAAAAAAAACTATGTTATGCAGAAAAATAAACTGAACAACTTTTGTCTCAGGGTCACATCGTAATTCTTTACCAAATTTAAAATGAAAATTTTAATTAAAAAATCATTCTTTTTTTTTTTAATATCTTTTTGGCCCAGCCCGGCAAGTGGACCCGGGCCACTCTGGTAGCCTAGCGGCTGAGAGTATACATAGACTTAGTGATGACAGCGCACAACTCTTTTTTCGATCAAGTTCCATGGGACACCCTGAACAGCATTGATTGCTCCCTGCATGGGCTTTTGTCTATTCTGACGTTTAAAATGTATGTTACTACAGTAAGAGAAAGCAATCATTAACGAATAATAATCAAGGTATGAAAGAAAAGTACTTGTCTTAGTTGTTTGTGGCCTGATGCTCATTTCTATTCTCTCTAAGGGAAATATTTTTGGGGAAAAAAAATGATGATAATTGCTAGGAGCGAAATTGGGTGCAGGGGACGACCTTGTTCCCTCAGCTGAACCAGCTCCGATACCAATGCAATCAAACTCGCTTTCTTTTTCACTTCGCATCCATGCAAACAGATGGCGATTCACACTGGCGCCAAGCGCCCACTCAAAGTTCAGAGATATGGAAACCGAGAACACAGTTCAGATGCAAACTCGCTTCAACAGGCTATGGCGCATTAGCGCCTGTACATCCCAACTCTCGACACTGTGTCCAACACCACTGTTCGCACACACTCAACTCTGGATCACCCTGAATACCCCACACGCATTCACTGTATCACACACTCGTACACACACACTAACACCGAACACTAGCTATGGCGGCTACGCCTGCTACTACTAACTATGGCGCACTGACTTCTTCAAGCCCACTTCGACCTCGGGCATCTGCAGACCACCTCGCACAAGACGCTCGGGCAGCGCTTCCGCATGGCTCACGCAGGAATGAATGAATGGCTGGACGCTGCCTCTTGATTTATACTTCTGTAAGTCGCTGGTCTGCCATTTACCATCGGGCCCATGGTGCACACAGTCCCTCATGGTACTTGCTGACTGTGCAAAGTGAGACTGGGACTGGGTACCGCTGACTAAGCGAAGTTCGACTCACCACTTGCCCACTTGCCTCTGGTCTGCTGTGTAAAACGTGAGAAGAAATCTGAAAGGCCACTTCCAGACCTTCCGGAAGTTTGCGGACTTGGCCTTTCAGGACTGTAGCAGCTACGACCTTGACCTTTCAGGACTGTAGCAGCTACGACCTTGACCTTTCAGAACTACAGCAACTATGACCCCTATGCAGGTATGACCCCTACTTTGACAGGTCTAAGGTTCAAGACCCGACAACTACTCAGACCTATGACAGACAACTCTCAACTGCTCACACACAGGTCACGGGTTCAAGACTCACAGGGTCGACTTCATACTATACACAGGGAAGGGAAGGTAAGGTCTATACACAGGGAAGGTAAGGTAAGGTAAGGTCTGGGGATCGAGCCCTGGGATCCGCATCTGTGTCTGCAAAAGGTGAAAACCGTTTCACAGCCACTATCAACCCAGTTTTTGTTGTTCCCTTGAGCTTCAAATTTTCTGTCTTTTGGGAATATCCAGGGCTTAGATTTTGGGCCTCGCTCCACTACACAACACTTGACATGCATTTGGATGGTACTTGCGAGCGCACGCTGTGTAGGTGATTCCGCACGTGCGGCGCACAAGCCGCTCGGGTATGTGTGGTGCAAACCCAGGAAAAGGAGTCGTCACATGCCTGGATAAGTGATAACCTGCGCCCCTTTCGAAATTTTGTCGCAGTATGAGAAAAGAAGGAAAAAAAACTTGGAAGAGCAATTTCACCACTTAACAGTCAAGACTGATGCCCCAAAGACCTATTCGAGGCCATTTATGCTGCCCGATGAGCCAAAAAGAAAGATTTTTTCGACTGTACTTGAACACGATCTGTTCTTTAGGTAGTACACTCTTCTGTATCTACAAAAACAGCAAAAAAGAGAAAAAAAAAAGAGAGAGAATTTATGGTGCTGCGCACGGCCAGGTTCCGCTCGCCGTGCGGTGCACTGCACCACTTGGCCATGCGGCTCGGCGGTTGCGAGTATGATATGGACACTTTTTGGACCTGATACATTCGGGATGTTGAACTTGTCCGAATGCAGCTGGTCGAGAAAATGTCCATTGCATGTATTGTGTTGTGTGTAGTGGAGCGAGGCCCTTTGTCTCTTCTGAAACGTTAGTTCTAATTTTGCATCTGCTTCAAACACAACTTTTTTTTCTCAAATCACGACTCGTCATCTTCTGAAATAACATTTTTAAAGCTGGTTCTTTTTTTTTCCCGATCCCTGAGATACCATCCCATCTATCATTCCGCTGGATTCAAACTTGGGTTTGCACTTCAATCGCTCATGGGTTGTACCGACTGAGCTAGGCCCATTGGTGGTATCAAGCTGTTGTCCAACCTCTTCTTCCTTTTTTCCATATGATCCTTTTTGAAAGAAACTGATTGATATTTTGCCAATGCTGCCCGCTTATCAGCTGCAGACACATCAACTCTGATCAGCTGTCCATGTGTGTGTGTCGTCCATGGATTCGTTGCCCTCCTGTATGCACACGAAGGGGTTGAGGGGAGTCAGGGGCATAGCTGAAGGCATGCTGTTTTTGGATTTATTTACTTATTTATTTTTTGAATTTTTCCCCTTTTCGGTCCCAGTCCTGGAGTCCGGATAGAGGCATGTTGTTTGCTGTCGACTGGAGGGATTTTTGCGCCGTTATTTTCATATCAATGCACAGGGTTTTTCCGCCGTTATTTTCACATCAGTGCACAGGGTTTTTGCGCCGTTATTTTCACGTCAATGCACAGGGAGTATTCGATAAACACACGAGGCCTGAGTTCAAGACAGACAGGTGGTTGCACCTGCATTACCTTTGTGGCATGCATGGCCATACCTCATGGCCTCCCGGGGAGGGCTTACACGGGTTCACTGGGCCCTAGGCCGCACAATCCACATTTTGGGCGGTCCAAGGGCTCCGGGCGGATTTCGTACCACGAGGACGCTCGTAGGTAGGTGGTTTTCTTTACGGTGTCTCTCTGTTATATGCACAGATATGCAATGTACGTAATAAACCGAGAATCTGCAATGTGATGAAAAGGACTGAATAGACAATGCGGTACGAGTAGAATATCGACAAGCAATGTACATTCCCATTCATACATAAAGATGCTGAAGAGCACAGGGAAGACTTTGATACAAAGACTGACCTGACAGGACTGACCTCATTCACGTAGTTCAGAGTAACGAAGCAGAATGCTAGAGTACTTCTAACTAGCCCAATCAATGTTTGAACTCAGACTAACATGCATTGTATCCATCACGAAGTCCGAAGGAGCCTGGCGCTGCACACAGGAAGAAAACACCAGGTCCAGACATACACAGACGAAGAGATAAGGGACAGACGAAAGGAGGGAAGAAGATGGGAATGTCGTTAACACCAAGTCTTGGTCACCAATCCCAAATAGTCCCTCGTTGCCATGTCTGAATCCCCGAAAGTCGAGTCTGGATCAAATGTCACCAAGCTCTGTATCTCTTCTCTCATAGTCTGCAGATGCAGTGAAGTCAGAAGTGAGAGGGAGAGAAGAGATGGTGGACTGAGAAGAAGAAGAAGAAGAACTCTCTCTCTCTCTCTCTCTCTCTCTCTCTCTCTCTCTCTCTCTCTCTCTCTCTCTCTCTCTCTCTCTCTCTCTCTCTCTCTCTCTCTGTTGCGAACCAAGTACTAACCTGTGATGTTGGCGCTGTGCTGCAGGTACCTCGAAGACGAAGCTGGAGCAACGGAGCTGCAGGTAGGTACCTCTGGCCTCCGCCCAAGCTCTCTCTCTCTCTCTCTCTCTCTAGTACTAACTAGCTATGGCGCCCAGCGCTGGAGACTACAGCTACCTACTGCGCCCAGCGCTGAAGACCAAGCTAACGCTACTACTCTACACTGCAGCGCTCCCTCCAGAGTGCTGCTCCCGAATCCTGAAGGCTACAACTGCCGGACTGCCTACCTCGGAAGTGCCTGGGAAGTCCTATGTACTACCTCGGCCTGCCTCCTGACTACTGGAGGGCAGTCAGGCCGAGGAGGCAGCTCTTGCCAATGCCGAAATGTGCCAGGGGCTGGCATGCAGCAGCCTGCTTGAGGCTGGCGTGGGAAACAGACTAATAATAGTCTGTTTCCGAAACCTTGGTTCGATGCTTGAGTTTCAGGGCCGGTCGTTCTGATGAACAACCGAAAATGGCCCTTCGTTTCAGGCTAAAAAGGCTGTTGCCATTTTTAGTCTGAAACGACCAGGGATAGGCCCTRGACTTCAGGCTTTTGGCCTGAACCGACAGGGGGCCTGTAAGCCCTGGATTTCAGGCTTTCAGCCTGAAATTCAGGCTTTCGGCCTGAAGTTCAGGCTTTTGGCCTGAACGCTGTCGGGCCTGCAAAATGGCCGTCGGGCCTGCAAAATGGCCCGTGTGTGCACGCGCTGCATGTAACACCCCCCCTCCTTATGAAGTCAAGCCGGGGCGAGGGCGAAGCCGTCGATCTGAAGGTGGAACCTGGACGCGGGCGAGGCGGGGAGCCGAAGAAACCGGCTTGCCCTGCATCTTGTGTTCGTAGCGTGCGAGAACGTATGGAGTTGTCGCTTGCAGTTCCGCACGGGTTAACCAACGGTCAGCTCGATGTGTGCAGTAGGCAAAATGCACCAAATACTCAGTTGGCTTGTTGCCAAAGCGTCGCTGGGAGATGATGTCGCCGACCTCCTGAAAACCATCCATAGAAGGTGGGTCTTGCGTCCGTCTCCCGGGAAAGTCGTCATGATCCGCTGGCGTGTAGAGAGTCAGTTTGGAGCAATGAAAGACTGGGTAGACAGGCAAGTGGCTAGGCACCTGAATCGTGAAGGAGGGTTCCTCGGGTGCGTCCCCAGCGGGCTCTATGATCGGCCAAGGCCCCATCCATTTCGGGAGGAGCTTGCGAGAGATGTCTTGTTCAAGGCTGAATTCCGCTGCTGAAACCCAGACGAGGTCTCTGGCACGGAACGGACAAGGAAGACGCTGGCGATTTGCCTGTTGGCGCATGCGCTGTTGCGTCTTAGGCATCTGGTCGCGTGCCTTGACAAGAAGCTCTTGCATCCGACACAAGAAAAGAAGATGGTCGTCGCTCTCGGCCGTGCGTGGAGTAATCGTGTCCAACGGTGACGTGACCGGCGAGCCGTGCTCGAACTCGAAGGGCGATATCCCAATAGCCGGGTGGATGGGAGAGTTGTAGGCCAACTCAACGTCCGGTAGTCGCTCAACCCAGTCTTTCTGGTCGGGGCGGATGAGAGTGCGAAGGAGAACCTGTGCAGTCTGATGCGCCCTCTCCATCTGGCCATCGGTCTGAGGGTGGCGAGCTGAACTGGGCTTGAGAGATGAGCCCCATCGCTTGATGAGCGCCAACCAAAAATCGGACATGAACCGAGTGTCGCGGTCGCAGACGATCTCCTTGGGGTAACCCTTGGTGCGAATCCAACCGGCGTACAGAACCTCGACCAACTCCGGTGCCTTGGCATGATAGCGAGAAGGCAAAAACATGGCGAACTTGGTGAGTCGGTCGACAACCATGAGAATCCCATCCACTCCGGTCTTGTGCTTGGGGAACGGGCCGGTGATGTCCATGGCAATCGCTTCCCTTCGCCTCAACAAGATTGGCAATGGTCGTAGCTCGCCGTACGGACGATGGTTGCGGGATTTGCAGCGTCGGCAAACCTCGCATGACTCGCAATAGCGCGTGACGTTGCCGATAAGGCCGGGCCACCAAAATCGCTGGCGAAGTCGGCCAATCGTGCGATTGACTCCAAAATGTCCGGTGGCGGGAGCGTCGTGGAACTCGCCAAGAAGCCGTGTACGCAAGTGAGGATCACTTGGTACGCAAAGAAGGTCCTTCCCCCGCGTGTGGACAAGCAAGTACCCCTCCTGGATCCGGTAGTGAGAAGGAGCCGGATTAGGCGAGGAGCAATTCGCGTACTTGTCGCGAAACTCGGGGTCGTCTTGGTAAACGTGGATGAAGCTGTTCCGCAGGTCATCGTCAATCTCGAAAGAGTAGACCACAGTACAGTGATCCGGACACCGTGAAAGAGCATCCGCAAAACGGTTCGACTTCCCGGGAATGTGATCGGGAAAGAAGTCGAACTGGTCGATGAAAGCCATCCATGAGCGATGGTGCTGTTGACAGTGTCTTGTGTCTTGTAGAAGACCAACGGATTTTTGTCCGTTACCCAACGAAATTGGCTTCGACCAAGGAGGAAGTGTCGCCACCGCTTGAGCGCGAGGACGAAGGCGAGGAGCTCCTTCTTGCGTGCATCGTCAATGGAATGCACGAGTGGCACTTTCTTGCTGAAGTACTCGACCGGGTGCCAGTCCACACCATCATGTTGCTCGAGGACTGCACCAATGCCATAGCCTGACGCATCCGTAGTGACACGTGTAGGCGCGAGCGGGTTGTATATCCGCAAGACCTCCGCAGACAATAGCGCGGCTTTGAGAGCGAGGAATGATCCCCGCGCCGCCTCTCCAAAGTCAAACGGTTGATCCTCGCACTGAAGCTTGTTCAAGTGGGACGCGATCTTGGAGTAGCCTTTAATTAAGCGCTGATAGTAGCCGGTAAGACCGAGGAACGAGCGGATATCCGTGACATTCCCAGACTCCGACCACTCTTGGACGGCCTAAATCTTGTCCGATAGCGGACTGATGCCCTCCGGTGTGACAAAATGGCCCGAGTATTCCAGCTCTTGCCGGACAAATTCGCACTTGTCGCGGTTGGCCTTGTACTTGGCACGGCGGAGCGTCTCCAACACTCGTCGAAGATGTCCAAGATGATCCTCCAATGTCCGGCTGTAGACGAGAATATCGTCTAAGTAGACCAGCACGAACCGGTCCAACATTGCACGGAACTCATTGGTCATCGCCGCCTGGAATGTCGCCGGGGCGTTGGTGAGGCCAAAAGGCATGACCACCCACTCAAAATGCCCGTGCCGCGTCTTGAATGCGGTTTTGTAGCGATCATTCGGCTGAATCGAGATTTGATGGTATCCTGATTTCAAATCCAACTTGGAAAAATACTTCGCAC